TTATTCAGAAAATAAATCATAGACCTATCACACAAATAGATCTATAATGATCATTTCAATTCGGTTAATTTTAAAAAATACTTGAACTTTTCTGATTCGAAGTTGGACGAATCGGAATGAGCAGGATAAATTCGAGAGGTGTGGTATGTCTATTATATAGATTTTGGATTATTCAGAAAATAAATCATAGACCTATCACACAAATAGATCTATAATGATCATTTCAATTCGGTTAATTTTAAAAAATACTTGAACTTTTCTGATTCGAAGTTGGACGAATCGGAATGAGCAGGATAAATTCGAGAGGTGTGGTATGTCTATTATATAGATTTTGGATTATTCAGAAAATAAATCATAGACCTATCACACAAATAGATCTATAATGATCATTTCAATTCGGTTAATTTTAAAAAATACTTGAACTTTTCTGATTCGAAGTTGGACGAATCTGAATGAGCAGGATAAATTCGAGAGGTGTGGTATGTCTATTATATAGATTTTGGATTATTCAGAAAATAAATCATAGACCTATCACACAAATAGATCTATAATGATCATTTCAATTCGGTTAATTTTAAAAAATACTTGAACTTTTCTGATTCGAAGTTGGACGAATCGGAATGAGCAGGATAAATTCGAGAGGTGTGGTATGTCTATTATATAGATTTTGGATTATTCAGAAAATAAATCATAGACCTATCACACATATAGATCTATAATGATCATTTCAATTCGGTTAATTTTAAAAAATACTTGAACTTTTCTGATTCGAAGTTGGACGAATCTGAATGAGCAGGATAAATTCGAGAGGTGTGGTATGTCTATTATATAGATTTTGGATTATTCAGAAAATAAATCATAGACCTATCACACAAATAGATCTATAATGATCATTTCAATTCGGTTAATTTTAAAAAATACTTGAACTTTTCTGATTCGAAGTTGGACGAATCGGAATGAGCAGGATAAATTCGAGAGGTGTGGTATGTCTATTATATAGATTTTGGATTATTCAGAAAATAAATCATAGACCTATCACACAAATAGATCTATAATGATCATTTCAATTCGGTTAATTTTAAAAAATACTTGAACTTTTCTGATTCGAAGTTGGACGAATCGGAATGAGCAGGATAAATTCGAGAGGTGTGGTATGTCTATTATATAGATTTTGGATTATTCAGAAAATAAATCATAGACCTATCACACAAATAGATCTATAATGATCATTTAAATTCGGTTAATTTTAAAAAATACTTGAACTTTTCTGATTCGAAGGTGGACGAATCGGAATGAGCAGGATAAATTCGAGAGGTGTGGTATGTCTATTATATAGATTTTGGATTATTCAGAAAATAAATCATAGACCTATCACACAAATAGATCTATAATGATCATTTCAATTCGGTTAATTTTAAAAAATACTTGAACTTTTCTGATTCGAAGGTGGACGAATCGGAATGAGCAGGATAAATTCGAGAGGTGTGGTATGTCTATTATATAGATTTTGGATTATTCAGAAAATAAATCATAGACCTATCACAAAAATAGATCTATAATGATCATTTCAATTCGGTTAATTTTAAAAAATACTTGAACTTTTCTGATTCGAAGTTGGACGAATCGGAATGAGCAGGATAAATTCGAGAGGTGTGGTATGTCTATTATATAGATTTTGGATTATTCAGAAAATAAATCATAGACCTATCACACAAATAGATCTATAATGATCATTTAAATTCGGTTAATTTTAAAAAATACTTGAACTTTTCTGATTCGAAGTTGGACGAATCGGAATGAGCAGGATAAATTCGAGAGGTGTGGTATGTCTATTATATAGATTTTGGATTATTCAGAAAATAAATCATAGACCTATCACACAAATAGATCTATAATGATCATTTCAATTCGGTTAATTTTAAAAAATACTTGAACTTTTCTGATTCGAAGTTGGACGAATCTGAATGAGCAGGATAAATTCGAGAGGTGTGGTATGTCTATTATATAGATTTTGGATTATTCAGAAAATAAATCATAGACCTATCACACATATAGATCTATAATGATCATTTCAATTCGGTTAATTTAATAAAATACTTGAACTTTTCTGATTCGAAGGTGGACGAATCGGACTGAGCAGGATAAATTCGAGAGGTGTGGTATGTCTATTATATAGATTTTGGATTATTCAGAAAATAAATCATAGACCTATCACACATATAGATCTATAATGATCATTTCAATTCGGTTAATTTAATAAAATACTTGAACTTTTCTGATTCGAAGGTGGACGAATCGGACTGAGCAGGATAAATTCGAGAGGTGTGGTATGTCTATTATATAGATTTTGGATTATTCAGAAAATAAATCATAGACCTATCACACATATAGATCTATAATGATCATTTCAATTCGGTTAATTTAATAAAATACTTGAACTTTTCTGATTCGAAGTTGGACGAATCGAAATGAGCAGGATAAATTCGAGAGGTGTGGTATGTCTATTATATAGATTTTGGATTATTCAGAAAATAAATCATAGACCTATCACACATATAGATCTATAATGATCATTTCAATTCGGTTAATTTTAAAAAATACTTGAACTTTTCTGATTCGAAGTTGGACGAATCGGAATGAGCAGGATAAATTCGAGAGGTGTGGTATGTCTATTATATAGATTTTGGATTATTCAGAAAATAAATCATAAACCTATCACACAAATAGATCTATAATGATCATTTCAATTCGGTTAATTTTAAAAAATACTTGAACTTTTCTGATTCGAAGTTGGACGAATCGAAATGAGCAGGATAAATTCGAGAGGTGTGGTATGTCTATTATATAGATTTTGGATTATTCAGAAAATAAATCATAGACCTATCACACATATAGATCTATAATGATCATTTCAATTCGGTTAATTTTAAAAAATACTTGAACTTTTCTGATTCGAAGTTGGACGAATCGAAATGAGCAGGATAAATTCGAGAGGTGTGGTATGTCTATTATATAGATTTTGGATTATTCAGAAAATAAATCATAGACCTATCACACATATAGATCTATAATGATCATTTCAATTCGGTTAATTTTAAAAAATACTTGAACTTTTCTGATTCGAAGTTGGACGAATCGAAATGAGCAGGATAAATTCGAGAGGTGTGGTATGTCTATTATATAGATTTTGGATTATTCAGAAAATAAATCATAGACCTATCACACATATAGATCTATAATGATCATTTCAATTCGGTTAATTTTAAAAAATACTTGAACTTTTCTGATTCGAAGTTGGACGAATCGGAATGAGCAGGATAAATTCGAGAGGTGTGGTATGTCTATTATATAGATTTTGGATTATTCAGAAAATAAATCATAGACCTATCACACAAATAGATCTATAATGATCATTTCAATTCGGTTAATTTTAAAAAATACTTGAACTTTTCTGATTCGAAGTTGGACGAATCGGAATGAGCAGGATAAATTCGAGAGGTGTGGTATGTCTATTATATAGATTTTGGATTATTCAGAAAATAAATCATAGACCTATCACACAAATAGATCTATAATGATCATTTCAATTCGGTTAATTTTAAAAAATACTTGAACTTTTCTGATTCGAAGTTGGACGAATCGGAATGAGCAGGATAAATTCGAGAGGTCAAAGTTGAGGTATGGTTCCAAAGCATTTGTTCATGTTCGGGACCTACGCCCACTGGGTATGGGACTATTACTTGCCCTATCCCTCGAAATTTCGGAAAGTTATAATTGTTTTTCCGAAATTTTTAAAAATTGGCTATAACTTTCCGAAATTTCGAGGGATAGGGCAAGGAATGGTCCCATACCCAGTGGGCGTAGGTCCCCAACATGAAGAAATGCTTTTGAACCATACCCCAACTTTACAATACTAAGAAAAATCCAATTTTTTGTTGATTGAACTTATAAACTTTTCAGTGGACTCATAAAAGTTCATTGGACGCATAAACTAGACCAGCGCCTACGTTTTTTCCAGCTTAAGGAAGTATATAATACATACTTGTTTCCCAAAAATCTATTTTCTAGAAAAATTCTCTTAAAAATTCTTGGAAGTTAGATTGGAGAGTAACCAACAATATTTTTAATTTAAAAATGCAAACATTAAATCCTTCTTTTCTATCCGTTCTCCCAATAATAATTTTTGTTTGATGTTCATTAATTAAAGGAATATCCTCCCCAATTTTAATTTCTCTATCCAATTTATCATCAATAATTAATTTAAATAATTTTTCTTTATTTAAAATAATTTGTAATTTATGCCAATTTCCATCACTTATTAAATTTGTTGAATTTAAACAAAATAAATTATTTTTAATTAAACAAATTTGTAAAAATCCCTGATGGAAAATAATTGAAATATTTAATGAATTATTTGATTTTGGATTATATGAATGCTATAAATAATAATATTAAATTATTTATAATTAAATTAAAATATTAAGAAATTGCTGTAGATAATGGGCTGTTTTGGGAAATATTTTTTTGATTTTATTGACGACTTATACATACACCAAAAATGGATGTGTGTTTGGGGTAATGAAATGCTGAATAAATATAAATCCACAAAATCCCCTCTTTAACTAAACTACTAATGCCTCAATATTTACAAAAACTACCAATTCAAGCAAATTCCCATTAAAAGTCCTTGTACGGAATTCCAAATTCAAATTATTTATCGAATATTCATTACCAGATTCTGATAATTTTGTGACATTTTTGGGTTGTTTATTTTTAATAGTTGTATTATTATTTATTTTCGGATAGTTAACCAATAAATATTGAAGTTGGGAATTTTTAGTTAAACTAAAAAGTAAATATGTCCCGGATTTTTAATTTAGATTAGGGTAGCACCTCGACTCCGACTATTTTTTAGGCAAAATCTCCGAGCCAAACCCCGAAGCTCTACTCCAGAAACCGCATCCCCGACACTCCCGCCTTCGAAGGCTCGGGGTGCTACCCTAAATTAGATAATTATAACTGTACGTAGCAGTTGATGTACAAACAAAACCGCCCCCTCCAACAATATTTTCGCATTTAGAACCATTCGGGCAAATTAAAGAAGCGTTAAAACAAAAATCTTGTATCTCACAGAATATTCCCTAAACATTAATTTGAGAAGTATGTAAATATATAAAAATTATCTACCATCCATCCAGGCTCACAATCACATTCAAAATCGTTAAAAGTATTTCGACAACTACCATGAACTCCGCAAGTTAAATCTATTCCGCCATTATTTAAATTATTAACGTTCATTAAACAAATATCATCAGAAACTGTTCCCTTGAATTTTTAAAAAATTATTTGATTTTTATTTTTAGATCGTAGTTGAATATCTCTGCAAGACAACCCCTAATAATTAACATGATGTTAAAATATAGTTGATATTCAATCAACAATTTCTTGAAAAATAAAATTGAATGACAAGAGATTTTTTGAAACGGGGGGGGGGTAAAGGAAAATAAAAAAAGATTAAAAGGGGGGATCAACGGAAAATCAAATCAAAATTAAAAATTTCTCTCATACATTAAGCAAATTCTGTTGAGAAATTCTTTTGCCAAAAAATTCTTCCCCATCTGCAATTTCCAAATTCTCCCCTAACTGTACAATTTTTTGATTAACACGGAAATCCTTCAAAAATAATTTTTATAAAATTTTAAAAATTAATCTTTCCAACTTGTATAGTTCCTTTAAAAAATAATTCCTCATTATTTTGTGAAGAATTATCTAATAAAAACTGTCCAATAATTAATTTATCGGCTAACAATGGATGGGCAAATGGACGTTCCAGAATAGTTGAACTTTCTGTTAAATATATTTTAAAATAAAAAGTCATAAATTTATTTTAAACTTTTAAACTATGGGTAAGAAAAACCCGAGATTCGGGAACCTAACTGCTTTATTCCTTACACCCTAACCACAAATCCACTCATTCTTTAAGAATTAAATTGAATAAAAAATATTTTTAATGCTGAAAAATGATTTGTCATTTTTCAGCTTTTAAAATAATTTCAAGGAGAATAAATGTTGGTTATTCATTTTCTCAGCTCACGTCGGGAATTAATACCGGGCATGGGAACTAAGACTTGGAAAGTTTCTTGAGTTCCATCACAACACTAATAGTAAAAAAGGGGAGCAGGCCAATGTACCGCAGCCCAACGTACCGCGCCCAACGTACCGCGCCCAAAGTACCGCGAGCCCAATGTACCGCAGGCCCAACGTACCGCCGAACAAAATTTTATTTTTTTTGGAATTCTTCCTTGGTTGTTGAACTAATCCCCCGTTATTGAAGCAAAATCCTCCGTTCTTGGAACAACTTACCATGTTGACAGAACAACTTCACCCGTTGACAGAACAACTTCACCCGTTGACAGAACAACTTCCCCCGTCATTGGAACAACTTCCCCCGTTGACGGAACAACTTCCCCCGTCATTGGAACAACTTCCCCCTTTGACGGAACAACTTCCCCCGTCATTGAAACATCTTCTCCCGCTGACAGGACAACTTCCCTCGTTGACGGACCAACTGCCCCCGTTGACAGGACAACTTTCCCCATTGTCGGAACATGTTTCCCAAGTCATTGGGTCAACTCTCCCCATCTACAACAAAAAAACAAATATTTTTGTTGTAGTTGTTGTTGGAACAACTATTATTCATGTATCGATTTGCGGTACGTTGGGCGTGCGGTACGTTGGGCGCGGTACGTTGGGCTGCGGTACATTGGGCTGCGGTACGTTGGGGTGTACCCGTAAAAAAGAAGTCTTACGTTTAAAAAAATTTTCTGCGTTTAAGGGGTAGGGGGGGGGGGAATGCTCCTTCATAATTTTTAAAAAAATTCTAAGTATTTCTAAATTAACTTTTTTATAACTAGAGTCCGGATTTTTATTGAAATAAATTCGCCAAATATGGCCATAAAATATTGAAATAAACTGCCAAAATATTGACAAAAAATCCCGAAAATTAGTGAAATATTGAAATAAATCATGGCTTATTCACTATTAAAAATCTAAAAAATGTTGAATTTTAGAAAAAAAATTAATTCCGTCTTTAATAATTAATCCCTAAAATTAATCCCGACTTCGATAAATTGAGTATTTTTACTGTTGTGCAATTTTAGATGGGCTAAATTGGGTAGGTACATTTTGGTGATTATCTTCTGCGGGACATTTTGTGGAGTTTGGTTCAGCGGGACAATTTGGGGATTTTTGTTCAGGGTGCATTCTGGGGACGCCCGCTTCAATATACGCTGTTTTGCCGATTTTTTGGCCGATTTTGCCAGAATAAGTCAAATTTCCCATTTTTAGCTCCGCAGGCGAAAATTTTTAGATTTTTGTAAGGTCAAGAAGCCAAAGTTCTTCACTTTTTTCCTAAAATTTATGAAAAATACCAAAATTTTGGTAAAAATATGCAAAAATATTGAAATAATTTGCAAAAAGTACAAAATATTGAAATAACGGGAAAATTGTCAAAATATTGAAATATATTGAAATACAGCTTTGTTCAAAATCATAATATCGAAAAACTAATACCATATTTGGGCTCCTCTCGACAAAGTGTGTTTGCAAAAAAAAGATTTATTTCAATAAAAATCCGGACTCTATTTATAACCAACCAAAATTATTATCAATTCGCATAATTATTTGATTTCCATTTCTTTCAATTTCAAATAAATGGATATTATTGTCATTTAAATTAACTTGGAAATTAATTTATAAAATCTTTCATCTAATTATTAATTACCATTTTCAATTTTTAACAAAATAATTGTTTTTCCCCCCAACCGAATACTAACTTTCGGAATTCCATCAATTTCTAATTCAGCACTCATAAAAGTATTCATTTCAATATCATTAGAAGTATCACTTCCAAATTCTCCCAAAAAGAAAATTGGAGAGGAATTTATTTGTTGATTTGTACGAAAAAGAAACTTTTAAAAAATTAAAAAAATTTTTTTTGAAGTTTTTAAGATATAAAATATACATTAATATTTGTTAATTGAGAAATTAAAGAACGTTCTTCAGCATTTAATGTAAACTATAAAACTAATTTTTTGATAAGTGATATAAAAATTACCAGAACATGTGAGGGTGTATTATTATACCCAAAAGTATATTCTGATATTTTTTGTTCACAATTAGGTTGTAAATATGGTCTAAAATATTTTATTTTAATTTAAATGCCGTAAAAACTGTATTAGTGTCCCTCCCTTAAATAATTACCCCACCTCTATTTATTACCCCCTCCAGCGAGAGATCAGAGTAGTTAATGCGGGGTAGTTAATACAGTTTTTGGTTATTCTTAAATATTTGTGGACTGGCTTTTTTAAATAGATAGGTAGTTTTTTAAGGTGCAGAAATTATTTTTAATGAATTTTTTATTGGAGTTGGAATTTAGAAAAATATTCTTAAAAAATTAAAAGATAGTCGAATCCTATTTACCCTAACAACAATGAGAGATTTTTAATTTTATATTCTAAAGGTAGATAATGACTGCTGTAAAAACAAAAAAAATATATTTGTGTACTTTTTACATTCACAAACATAACTGTCCCAAAGGTCAATACAAGTTCCATTGTTAGCACAAACTTGTTTTCCATTAATAAAATTCGTTGGCTGTTGGCATAAATTTTGGTAAATACATATTGGGGAAATATTAAAAGCCCCACTTTAATTTAAAAAAATTATTTTATTTATTTATTCAATCCAATTACCCATAATCGGCATTTATCAATTCATTTCCATTAAAAACAACATCCCTCAAACACCCTACAAAATTCCCATAATGTCTCATTTCTCTACCAAAACGAGTATTCCAAATATTTGAGAATAAATGATTAAAGCTCAAAATATGGCGAAATAATAAATGAAAGCCTTTAAATAAATTAATTTTTATTTTAAAAATTATTTAAAATTTAAATTAATTTTAATAACCATTTAGAGATAATTTTTTATTTTATTAACTACTCTGGAAAGAAATTGATAAATCTCAAATTTATCAATGCTTAAACTCAGATTATTTATTTATTCACTCAAACAATTATTTTTAACTTAAATCTTAATTTTTATCCAACAATTTTATATATATAGAAAGGGAAAGGAAAGTGAATCTGTTAATGGAAAAATTGAAACATTTAAATAAAAAAGTTTAGATGATTAAGCGAAAAGGAGGCAAAAAATAATATTGTTATTTTTAACAAAAATAATGTTATGATTAATAGAAAAAGTGCAAATAATTTTATAAATATTTTGTTTGAATTTTATTTCCAACACTCCGGGGGGCAAAAGGTTTTAAGAACAATTTAGGAAGAAGTTTAAAGAAAAAAAATTTAATTAAAAGCGGGGTAAGACAATACATGGTTAGGAAGAAGATTATTAGACTGAAAAGTATTATCAAGAAATATTTGGGAAAGAATAAATAAGAAAGCAGGTTGTTGAAGTCAATTTGTTTAAATGATGAAAACCAGTTTTTCAAATTAATTGTGGGGTTGCCAATTTGCTCTGCGTGTATTTTAAATTCAGTCGATTCCGGATAATCCAATAGCCCACTTAGTTTGAATCGCGTTGGGGCTGCACCGCAAAAAACCTCACAATCTTCGTTTATAATCGATTTGGAAAAATGAACTACCTTTGTCTGAACCGCTCTTTTGGAAGAGCAAATCGCGACCATTTTCGTTGAGGGGCAGAAGATTGTGGCAAGTGCCGATCCAAAGTCCGTATAACAATCTAACATTACGTGTGCGCCCCTGGGACAGTCGTAACAACCACTTACGTTGGCCTGAATTTTACAAGTATTAAGCTCAATTTGTGTTTTAAGTTTCATTCCATTAATTTTTAATTGGATCTGAGCGGCAGTCAAGTCTAAAACCGCTGTAATTTCACCACTATCTAATTTTATTAAAAATCCACTATTTTCTATAGGTAATGTGTTTTCTGGTCTAAATATCATTTTTTCATTTAATAATTCTGTACATAAACAATTTATATTATTATCTGCGGGATGGCAATTACAAGCTAAGGGATCCATTGAACAATTTACAAATTCGATTGCTTGCTTTTTAGAAGAACATTTAAATTTACTTAATTCATTTTCTATTTCAGGGCTTAGTATAGCTGCCTTTTTTCGATCAGAAACAAAATTTTTATTTAGAGAAGGCACAATTGGGGTTGTTAGACTTTTTAAAGTTAGTTCTAGTTCCTTCCATGTGACAGTTATTCCCGGTGCTAAATCAATTATTTTAGATTCTTGTTTGCCTTTATGGTTTATTTTAACATTTAAGCTTAATAATAAATCAAATTTGGGGCATTCATAAATTTCCAAAATATTATTGTCAACGGGCATTGCGAAAAATCGATAGAAAAGACAAGCAGGCGTTGTATAAAAGCAACCGGCAAACCATCCGCTTGAGCTTTCAATACATCTTGTCACACCAGGATATTTATTTGCCGCATTAAATTCGGGCAATTTTTCATTCATTTTTATTTCGCTGCATTTTTGTTCGATACAGCTTCCCGTTTCCGGACACCTTTTAGCTGATTCTATTACCGTATCGTATGTTCTGGAAAAATATTTTATGGATTTTGCGCAAATAGCTTTTGTTTTGAATGTTTCTAATGTTAGGGCTCCCATAGGTAAATCTTTGTCATCACTTAATAATATTTCAGTTTGTTGGTTTTCTGGGTTAAGTGAAATCTCCAAAATTTTCTCAAAAATACATTGTTTCTCTCCATTTTTGTTTACTATACATTTCTCCTCATTTGCTTGTAAACTTGTTAATGCGTAAGATTTTGAAATTATTCCAATAAAATAAATTAGCGCAATTGTTACTTTCATGGGAAGTTTCTTTGAACGGCTGGTTACTAATTCAAAATCGTATTCTCTTTTTTGTTTAGTCCTTTTCTTATTTTTTATGAGAATGTAACGTGCAATTCTCATTTTTGTGTAAATTATCCATATGGCAAATTTTCCGATTATTATTAACAATTTTACAATTATATATATTATGTTAGAAAATATGTAAATAAATATTGCCAGTAATACCATTGTCAGTTCCGGAAAACATTGTGGGTTTTTAAGTCTTTCAGGACAGAAAAAACAATTAATTATTTTACAAATATTTCTTTTTTCACATTTATTTTTCAATTCTTTTACTAATTCTCCCTCTCTATAAAGTCGAACTGATACCTGATATCCTCCCACTAAAAATTGATGGGGTATCGAAAAATTTTCAATTTTTTCCGGATGGGGCGTATAAAAACATTTTTCATCGGCACAATATTCTATACCCGCCATTTTTTCGTCTGTGTTTATTTGAATTCCTTCGGCGGTACAAATTACGGATGCATTTTTGCAACATTTCTTTTGTTTTTCGGGATAGCCATATATTTTTACTTTTATTCTTCCCCAACTTTTTATGGGTATTCGTCCACTTGGCGTAAGTAAATAAGCTGTTTCTTCTCGCGGGAAAAAGCAAAATTTAGTGCCTTCTTCTACACAGTGATGTTCACGACAGAAACGAGGAGATCCCGTAATTTCTTTACCTTCACCGATACATTGCCATACTCTTTTTGTCGAATCTTCTGTAACAATATTTAAATTTTCTACCCAAAATTTTGAACCGTTATATAATTCGATTTGATTTATTTCTTTATATTGTGCATTTTCTGAACATTCTGGATTTGGCGATTTTGCACATATTTTAGGTTCAATTTCTTTTAAAATATCCGAAATGTTATTCTTAAAATCTAAAGGTGTAGAACTTCCTAGAACACATTGGTCTGCCCAGTTTGGACATTCACATTTATTCCCACAAAGTGAAATATCATTTTGATCGGACCATCTTAAATTTTTATTTTCTGGGCAAATTTCCTTTTTCCAACAAAGTGTTTTGTCTTTTCTTTGATAAATAACGAGCCCTTCTTGCGCACAGTTATCCAGATGTTTTAAAATTCCCTTTTCGTTTTGTTTACAAGGAGCCCCATTTGTTAAATTAATTAAGTAAAAGAATATTATTGCCAAAAATAAAATCGAATTTGTAAGACTAACTGTGCTATTTGTGGGGCTGTTGTTTGTACTTCAATTTTTAGCCCGATGATTTCACTCCATAACTTCTCTGTCGTATTTTCTATTTTTACATTAAATTCTTTCTCTACCTTTTCTCTGGTTTTATTTCGAATAAATTCATTTTCCTTTTCTTTTATATTTTTTTCGATTGTATTTGGCAAGCGATAGGATGGGCTTTGAATTCTATGCCAACAATCTTGTTCACTGTGCCCATTTTTACCGCAAAAGAGACAGTATAAAAATTTAGGGCGATGGAACATAGCCATTATTATTTCGCTTTTGTCCTCTGATACGTTATTAGAAGTTTCGTTTGAGTTTATTTCGGGAATAATTTTCTGATTGTTTAATATTTCGTTTTTCAATTTTACGGATTTTTCTAATTCCTTATTTCGAGTTTGAAAAGTTGCACAGAATTCTTCTTCATCTGAACTTTGATCAATAATTATTTTTCTATTTTTCCTATCTCTTAATTTCATTTTATGGGTGGGGACTTGTTCATTACCAGGAGTTTCCTTTTCGCTTGTTTCGTTTATACCTACTTCTGCAATGATTTCTAGGGGATAGAGTAAAGCGATAGCTCTTGTGATTATTTTACCGCTTGTTTTTACTTTAGCTGCGCGCACTAGGCCGTCTCTACTTTTTATTAGTTCAATAATTTTTCCTAAATTCCAAAGATTTTTGGGGACGTTTACTTGATGGATTAATACGATTTCCCCTTTTAGTGGTAAATAATTTTTCTTAAATTTCTTTTGTGAATGTCTATCGGCTCTCTCTTTCAAACTTGCCAAGTAATTGTTTTCCCACCTTTTCCAAAATTCTTTTAATATTTTATTTACATTTTTCCAGTCTGTAACTAAGTCATCTCTAAGTGTTTTATTTTCTATATAATCTTCGGACTCAATTGGGCTTATTTCTAAAATTTGTTCATTTCTATTTGGTTGAATTAAATCGATGGGCCTTAAAATTTCCAATTCTTCAATTTCATCGTAGATGTATGTTAGGGGGCGCTTGTTCATGATTATTTTTATTTCTGGTAGAAGAGTGCGCATTTCTTCGTTTGTAAGCAGTCTTTTTCCTACCGCGCCTTTTAGCGCCCTTTTAAAAATTTTTACTATAACCTCATAGATGCCCCCGAACCAAGGCGATAAACTTGGAATGAATTTCCACAACATTTTTTCTTTTTGCATTTCTTTTTCAACTTCTTTTATTATCTTTGAGGTCAATACATATTGTGTCCCATTATCGCTAAGTAAATAGTTTGGCCTCCCATATTCTGCACAAAATCTTCTCATCGATTGAAGACATGATTTAGCAGTTAGGTCAGGTATTAATTCAAGATGTGTAAAACGGGTGGCCATACAAGTATATATTTGGACCCAAACCTTTTTATTTTCCCCATTAATTTTTACCATAAATGGTCCGGCATAATCAGTCCCCGTGTTAATGAATGCTTTTGTTCTTTTTATTCTCTCATTTGGAAGGGGTGGCATGTCAGGGATCTTATATGGTTCTAGACGCGCTCTCTTACATATTTCACATGTTTTTAGTGCTTCTCTCATTTTCCTTCTTCCTGCCGGTATCCAAAACTTAGTTCTGAGTTCGCATAAGCTTAGATTTACACCACTGTGAAATGATTTTTTGTGAAATTCTAGACATAACGTTCTTGCGTATTGTGAGTTATACGAAACAAAGATCGGACTATTTTGTTGCTCTATATATTCTAATCTTCCCGGACATCTCCATAGACCTATTTCATCTTTTTGCATTCTTAAATTTTCTATTTCTTTTTCGGTGGGTGGGTCGCTTAATTGAATTTGTAATATTGTTAAGATTTCTCCAAAATTCTTTAAATCGATTATTGAATTGGCCTTTAATAGTCGTTTCATAAATTCAGTTTGACATTTCGTATTTTTTCCGAAAAATTTGAGGGCCTTGCAAACTTTAAACCCTAAATTTATTATTTTTGGCCATTCATTATGATAATTTAGATCAAAAATTTGTTCAATTATGCAATTTATTTGAACTTCTTCCAATTTTTCGTTTTGTTGTAAATCGATTGCTTTAGGCCAAAATTCTTCACTTTTTCTAATAAAGGAAGGACCCATCCACCACCTCTTATTTTCCTTTAATTCTTCGCAATTACAGCCCCGGGTTAATAAGTCAGCAGAATTTTCTTCACCTGGGACAAACTTCCAATTTATATTTGGATCATTTCTTAAATTTTCTACTCTTCTTTTAATAAATTTGGGTAATTTTTCGAAGTTTGTTACAAGGACCCAATTTAATACTACCTTACTGTCTGACCAAATAAATATTTTCTCAAATTCTATATCGCTTTCCTTTTTGATGAATTCATATAATCTTTTACCAGCCACTGCCGCCATTAGTTCAAGTCTAGGGATGGTTAGTTTTCCTTTTATTGGGGCTAATCTACTTTTTGCAAAAATTATTGAAGAATTTTTTCTTTGGGTGATATAAGCCACTGCGCCAAATGCTTTGGCGCTTGCGTCGACAAAAATATGTAAATTAGATTTTTCGTTTTTATTGACCACTTTTCTTCGAATAAGGAAATTTCCGAAATCATATTGAATTTGTTTAAACTTTTCTTGAAGCTCTCCTGAGAGTTTATCGTCCCAACCGTATTCCGGATAATTCCATAATTCTTGAAAAAATAATTTTCTTTTTAAATTTACTGGAACAATCATGCCTAGTGGGTCAAAGCTTGACGCGATTGCTTTTAAAACATTTCTTTTAGTTAATTTCTCTTCAATTTTAATTTCTTTTAATTCCATCATTAGTGCATCTTTTGAAGTGTCCCATGAAATGCCCAATATTTTTACTAAGTCTGATTTATTGCCGAAATGTGTATTTACTATTCTTAAATTACTACAAAATTCGTGAAGTAACATTTTAGCGCCTGCGAATAATTTTTCGACTTCTTTACATTCTTGTATTGCTTGCAATTCCTCAACTTCAAAAAAGACATTATCGGCGTAAAGGCCTTTCAAAAGCTTATTTCCGAGCGGATTTTTTGCATTTTCCAGGTGGTGATGGATTACTGCGGCTAGGAGAAAAGGTGCCGCAATCACACCGAACGGCATTCCTCTAAACCTCCATTTTTGTAAATTTTCTAATGAGGGAGGGCTTTTAATGTCTTTAACCCATAAAAACCTAGTTAAATTTCTTATGTTTTCTTTTAAATAAATTTGATGAAAGGCACTTTTTACGTCCGCACAGATTGCGTTTTTAAACATTCGGAAACGTATTAAGACTCCGCATATGTCTGGTAGTAAAACCGGGCCTCTCAGTATCAAGTCATTTAAACTTTTTCCATTTGAAGTTTTACAACTCGCGTCAAATACTATTCTCAATTTTCCTTTTTGTTGATGAACTACGCAATGGTGGGGGATATAATGAATTGGCCCTTCGTTATCAACACATTTCTCTATTATTCCTTCATTGGCCTGCTCTTTAAAAAGTTTATCGTATTTTTCCAAAATGGTTGGGGTTTTATTTAGTTTATTGTAAACCGCGATTAGCCGCTTGAAACTAATGCCAAAATTATCTGAAATATCGATTTTTTCTCTTATGGGCCATTCAATATGATAACGCCCGTCTTTTTTAGTTACAGTATTTTTAAAATGTTCCATTGCGAAGGCATCATCTCCACTTGTTATTTCTAAATCCCCTATACCAAAACCTTCGATTTCCCACCATTTTTCTACATTTAAATTCTTTTCCTTCTCTATCATTGAACACATTAAAGTATTTTTTGATATGTGTCCTTTTCCTGTTATTATTGATCCGATTTTAGTGTGGAGTAGGTGGAAACCCTTTTCAATTTTTTCTAATCCTAATATTTTAGAATAAAAGTCAGAACCAATTAACATTTGGGGGGTGACGCCTATTATATTAAACTCAGATTCTCCTTTACTTTCTTTATCTTTACGTTGAGCCATGTGTACGTATTCTACTAAGTCGTTTGTTCCATAGGCTTTTATTTTAATAATTTCCCCTAATTTAGTAAGTAATTCGAATTCAAAAACCGGACAATTAGCCACAACTGATTTATTGAATAATCCCTTTCCGTTAAACTTCTTAGATCCTATACTCTCAAGACCAAGTTGTTTCGCAAAGCTATTTCTGACTAAGGAAATTTCGCATCCTGAATCCAAAAATACAGCTGCATTTAAGTTTATTTTTCCATTTTTTGGGTTTCTTATGTCTGCTTTTCCAACTTGTAATAGACAAATTGGTTTTTCTGACTTTTCTAGAATATTTTCTTTTTCAAAATTTATTTTCTTATTTTTTGTTTTCTTTGTGAAATTTTGAATGAGAACTTCATTGGTCTCTTCATTTTCTTCAATCGATTCTTGTTCAGTGGCCATAAACATATTTTTTCTATTCTGATTCGATTCAAAATTTCTTTTTACATTTTGAAAATTTTTAGTGTTTTTATTGACTGAGTTTTGTGGGAAACTTTTATTACAAAAAGCGGTATTATGACGCTTATTTCGACATAAAAAACATGTAACTATATTTTGACAATTTTTGGCTAAATGGGACGGGGAAAAACATTTAAAACACAATTTTAATTCCTTAATTCTTAAAATGCGCTGGTCCTTTGATGAATATTTTGTGCACTTATTTTCGAAATGTTTGTCCTGACAAAATTTACATTGGTGAAATTTTTGTTTTTCCGGACCTTTTGTGAACGCGTACATTGCAGTGGAAACTTTTTTAATATTTTCTGGTTCATTTCTCCACCGCTGTTTTATTTCTGGCTTATTTCTGAATTTTTGATTATTCTCATAATTTACGCGTTCAGGCCCCCCTTTACCCTCTTCGTAGTTTTTATGGACCATATAGACATCTTCTTCCAACTTAATTACTTCATCTAAAAATTCCATCATCGCCTTTAGACTCCATTCTCTCTCTTTTCGCTTTTTCTTGTATATTTCTGTTAAAAATCTTTTGGGTAACTTAGACTCTATTTCAAGTATCATTTGCTCATGCTCTATATTTTCTCCTAAATTTTCGAGCTGTTTTATAATTGCTTCAACTTTTCTTAACATTTTCCTAACTTCTGGAATATATTTACCGGCTCGGGGCATTTTCCTTAAAGAAGCATGGAGGCTTGTTTTAATATTTTCTTTGTTTCCAAAATTTTTTAATAAAATATCTAGTACTATTTTATAATTTTTCGACTCAAGTGGAAATTGGTTTATAATTTCCAACGCTTCTCCTTTTAGTGCGCTTTTTAAGTACTGCATTTTGCGTTTTTCTGGTATATCTTGCTCATCGACAGCCGCACAAAATTCTTCATAAAACGCATTCCAATTTTGCCAACCTCCCTCAAACTCGGGTAATTTTATTTCAGGAAGTTTTACATTAATACTTTGTGGCATGCGCAGTGGGCTTGGGACCATATTCTCGAGAAAACGCCTATTCTCCGCAAGAGTGTCTAAAATTTCCCTACTATGTTCCATTGTTGTGAGGAAACCTGTGGGCCCGGAACCGAATCTTTGATATTGTTCTCTTTCTGATGCCCTTTGTGCCGGCCCTAGGCCCTGATAGTACTTTGCGTACTCCAGATTCTGGTTATTTAGCTCTTCCATAATATTTTTTATTTTAAACTCAAAACCCACATCATTTTTATTTTCATTTTCCCCAATAACATAATCTACAGACAAACACACTTTTGCAAAAACTTTAAAAGGAAAATTTGAAGAAGAAATCCAATTAATTAAAATTTGAGATAAATTGAGTGTATCTAAAGCCATTGGACTAACAATATCATTTTCTTCATCATCAAAATACATTAATTGCGAATAATTGTTTGGCTGGAAAATTTAAAAAAATTTTTGGAAAAAATTTTTTTTAATTAAAAAATATTTTTAGGCCGCAAAATGGTCAAAAAAATTTTTTAATTAAATTAAAAATAAAATTTTTCAGAAAAAAATTCCTTAAAATAGGAACAGAAAAAGCCGCCTTAAAATTCATTCCCTAGTTGTATTTCTAAAATTGTCCCCTACTAAAAACCCTCGACGTGACCTTTTTGAGGCCCCTACTTTTGACAATAATTTCCATCAAACTAAGCTCATATAAACGTCAAAAATTTTAAATTTTGTATAAAATGAATATACAGAATGCTCATCAAAAGTCGAATACTCCCAAAAATTCAGTCAAAAAATCGTTGTTTGGTAAATTAATTTTTTCCTTTTTAATAATAATACTCCCCCAAGCGTAAAAGTAGAGGATCAAGAACATGCCAGCTTTATTCCCCTTTCCCCCATTTCTGGGGAGAATGGCTTCAGCGCCCTAGCTACACCCTTATAGGGGAGTACAAAAATTAAAAAACTTTAGATTTAAAAGAAAAAAATTTTTGGATCGGAAAAAATTTATTATAATAAAACCTCCTTACATAAGCATCTAAAAATTTAAATTCCACTTCCAAATTTGTTAATTTTGGAAATACTTGTTGTGATTTGGCCAATTTATTTAACAATTTGTTGATTGATTCCGTCTCTATTGCCGCCAATATAATTGAAGTAAATTTGAGCGAAACAATTTTTGAGAGTAAATCCATTGAGCGACATCCGTGGGAAGCAAAAGCTCTTTGAAAAAAATTTTTGAAAAATTTTTTAAAAATTTTTTAGAAAAAAAACCTTTCAGCAGCTCGAAAAGGTTGACTAAGCCGGTGAACTTCAATTCTCATAGAGACACCATTTGTGGCTAGAGGTTCTAAAACTGGAGGGAGAGAGGCACCGGATGTATAGAAGGCAAAGAAATCTTGTTCCTAGAAAAAAAATTAATAAAAAATTTTTTGCGGACAAAAAATTTTTTTGCGGACAAAAAAATTTTTTGCGGACAAAAAAATTTTTTACGGACAAAATTTGCAGACGAAAAAATTTTTTTGCGGACAAAAGAATTTTTGCGGACAAAAAAATTTTTGCGGACAAAATTTGCGGACAGAAAAATTTTTGCGGACAAAAAAATTTTTTTGTGGATTTCCGCAACTCTTAAAAACAACTATAAAAATTAATAAAAAATAAACCCTTTCCAAAGTTCCATTTCTAAGCGTAGATGTGTGTATAGCAACAAGTTTTTCACGCATTTCTCTAGGCAAAACCAATGGATGTGTTAAATGTTTTAAGGAAACAAGTGTTTTTAAATTATTTTGAATTAATTTTTCCATCTTTTTAGAACGTCTATTTCCAAATTCGTAAGGTAAACTTATCACATTGACAACACCTAAATTTACGGAAAAAAAATTTTTTTTGTGGACAAAATATGCGGACAGAAAATTTTTTGCGGACTGGGAGAAATCATAGGAAAAAAGAGAACTCGAAAATATTGCCTCGATAACCGAGAATTTTGTTTCGAGGTCTCATCTCGGTCCAATCCATGTAAACTAACTAGAAAAATAGGTCTGGACAAGAACGGTTAACTAAACGAAACCGAGGGGAGGTATTGAAAAAAAGCCGTTTGTGTCAAAAAAGGTCCGTAAGAGAGGGATGGATAGAGCAAACAACTTAGATTCGGATAAATCAAAAAAGAAATAGAAATTGAAAAGAAAAACTAAGCCAAAGTTCGTTTTATGGCTCTGACCCGATATCCAAACATCGCCCATTTGGATGTTCGATTTTTAGGAGCCTATATCTCCGTCCAATCAAGTCGGATTTCGCCGATTTTGGTGTCATTCGACTCAGCTCGAGGAGCTCTTTCAAATGACATATCAATCTGCATCAGAATATTTATATGGATCAGAACCATAAAATGAACTGTGACCAAAAACTGCATTTTCTGCGTCACAAATTTTCTAAAAAATCCGCAAAAATTCCCCGAAAAACAGCCACAAATTTTCTCAAAATTTTCGGAAAACCCAAGAAAATCCCATTCCAAACCCCTCAAAATAAAAAATTAAAAAAAACCTTCAAGTATTAAAAGTGTTCCCATAAATTTATCAAAATCGACATCTTTTAAAGAAATTAAATGGATTTCTTTGATGGCATTAAAAGAGTATTTGACAATTAATTCCAACAATCTTTTGAGATAAACGTAGCCAACATATTTGGACAAATCGATAATTAAGGAATCCTTTAAAAACGAAGAAAAATTAGAAAAGTTTGACAGAAAAAAATTTTTGGTTTAGAAGTCTCCCAGTCCTCGACAAAAAAACTCAGGCCAGAATGGATTAACAAACAAATTTTTTCATTAAAAAGGAAAGGTTTTTTTGTTGTTTGTTCATTTTGTAGGTGTTTTTGGGGAGGAAAAGAAGATTTTGAACAAAAAATTTTTTTAATTCCTAATAATGAGATCTTAAGTAGAAAAATATGAAAAAAAACTGACTTGGATCCCTGGACTTGGATTTTTTATCAGGGATGTCCCAGGTTGAAAGAAAAAAGTTGGGGTTGACCTCTGAAAAAGTTACAAACTTAGGGTAGTCGTAATCCGTAAATGATTATTATTCTCAAGCTTTCCCCGGACTTGAAATTTTTTCTGAACTTGGGAATCTCAAAAAAGGACGGGTATTTGGTGAGAGAACTAATCAAAAATAAAATTTAAAGTTAACATTACCCCTCGGAATTAAAATTTAAAAAAAATAAAAATTTTTAAACCTTTCCATTAGCCGACCGAAACTGAATTTTGGCGTTATTCAAAGTTAGTATTGAAAGTTTTGCAATTGAATCGAGGGCAGACAATCGGAAAAAGTTTGGGCAACACTTTAGAAAAAAAATTTTTTTTTTCTTAGAAAAAAATTCAAAAAACTTACAAAAATTTTAAAAAATCCATCATCCACAAAACGAGCATTTTCAACAACTTTTTGCCCAATTAAATATTGGATGTCTCTACTGACATAAAAAGAAGAAGATTTGTTTTGGTAATTCATTTTCTAGTATTTTTTGGTTAACAAAAAAGGAAAAAAATAAATTAATAGAACAAATAACCCTTGATATGATTCTGAAAAAATATTTAGAAAAAAAAATTTTTTTAAGGGGTTTTAGACTCTTATTAAACGAGAGTCGGCAAAAGCGAACTTTCCGGGATTCCGAGTCGTGATTTTTTTTCTCTTAACCGATACCGGGACATACCGTCGGATAAATCCCGAAAAATCCTGGATCCCGAAAATCAAAAAAATCCGGGATCCCGGAAAATCCCGTAGGGATCCCCGTTTCGCGCCGACCTCTACTGGTTAACCGAGAATTGGACCCAAGTTTGGAGTCAAGCCTCAGACTTTCAAAAACATTTATCTATAATATACTCAGGTTTATTCCCCTCCTAAATAAATTTTTATTAAAACTGCCACGCAGCCAACTCTTCAACTGTCAATATTTAACTGCCAATTTTAGATTCACAAACTGCCAATTCTTCATCTCCACATATAATAAAGGAGAAGTAAGATTAGTTCTCTTTTCTGAAAAAAGTAAAACGAAAATAACAAAAAGCAAACAATAAAAGTACAAAAAAATTAGAAAAAAACTTTTTTTACGAAAATTTTTCAACTTTTAACAAAATGACATTTTATCCCACGAAAAATAACTTTTTATCCCAATTGGCTCCCATACAAAATCTCTATTCCTTAAAATCGCTATTCCTTAAAATCTCTACTAATCTAAAAATGCTTAAAATCTCTATTCCTTAAAATAACTATTCCTTAAAATCTCTACTGGGGTAAAAATAATTAAAATCTCTACACCGTGCAAATGGATGGTAGAGTCTCAACAAAAGTGTAAAATATGAACTTTTCATTGGAAAACCCAGACTTGGTAATGGATACGGATATGGATACAATTGATTTAAAAATGGCTGCAGATATCTGCTTGTATCCGCCGTAAATATCGAAGATATAATACACGACTGCTTCGCTGCGGTCGTGTTCATTTTGCTTGCGGTGATCGTATCGAAGCGGCTGCTGTCGTTCCGCTGGACATGCCTGGGTTCATCCGCAGCGGCAAAAACAATACAAGCAAAATAATATCAAAAGATAAGCCAGAAATCAGAACAACGTTTCCGCACTGAACGTTGGCACTCAAAAGGCTTCCGAATGAAAAAATAGACATTTTATCCTATTTTTGGCCGTGCAGAGATTTTAAGGCGTTTTACCCGTGTAGAGATTATGAGGAATAGAGATTTTAAGGAATAGTTATTTTAATAATTTTTAGCCGAGTAGAGATTTTAATGCATTTTAGCTGTGTAGAGATTATAAGGCATTTTAGCCCAGTAGAGATTTTAAGGAATAGAGATTTTGAGGGGATACGTCCCAATTTTGTCTAACTTCTCTAATTACTCTCCTTATTTTGCCTTATCTCTAAATTAAATTTTTAAAGAAAATTTTCTTTAAAATTTTGACTTTTTCTTAAATTTTGCTTTTATTTTTAAAAATCTTTTAGGCCTCTAAAATGCAGAAAAATCACCAACTTAGAATGGAAGCTGAGGAATTATTAAATAAATTGGCATTAAAAGCCCAAACATCTCGTTATTTTGTCAATCCATTTTTTGAAGATTCCAAATTAGCAGCTAAATATGTGACGGAAGAATGGATTTTACATCAAATTAAATTACTGGCTGAACAAATTTCTCAAAGAAAAATTTCTTCTGATGAATATCAAAAAGGTTTATTGTAATTTTAAATTAGGGGAGATTATTTCTAGGGGAGGAAATGGGTTTGTAAAGGAAGAAGGGGAATCTACCTATATTTAGTTTAGAGAACGAGCTGAAAAGGATCCAGATCTTGATTTTTCCTGGATCCAGAGTTCAGAGTCGAGGCATTTTTCAGAGTTCCTTGATTTTCCTTAACTCAAGGTCAAGAATCTGGTCAAGGTCCTTATCTAAAATCAAGCTCAAGGTTTTTTGAAAATCCCGCTCTCTAGTTTAGTTGCCTAGCATTTAATACGATTTGTCAAAAATTACGAAGATTTAAGGGGCTATTGAAGTTAGTAGATAAGTAGGTGAGCACCTGCAACCTGAAGTAAGTGAGAGCCCCTAACATCGAGTTGTTCGACTCAATGTTAGTCTATGCTCGAAGTCTGCCTTCACCACGTATACTATGTGCTTTAACACTCCCTCCTCATTTTCCTTTATTTTCTAGCCATTCTTCCAAAAAATTTTTTCAAAAATTTTCAGAAGGCCCCTATGTCGGTCCAAGCGGAATTGCTTACTCTCTTTTACGCGTCACACAAATAAACAAAAATTTGGATTTTACAAAACAAATAAAAAATATTTTGGAAACACAATCGGTTAGTCTTTAGAAAATTTTTTTTGAAATAAAAAAAATTTTTTAGAAAATTTCTTCAAATTCTTCAAATAAAAGTAAATATTTAAATGGACGTGCCGGTTTTTATTTAATTAAATTTTTGGCTAATTTAATTGATTTGGACAATTTTAAAAGAAAAATTGGGAAATTAATTGAATATGTTGTTGATGAAACTGAAGATAATGAAATACTTAATGGGAGAGCTGGGTTTTTGGCTGGATTTTTGATGTTGAGGTAAATTGGAGATTTTTTGGAGGTTAAAATTTAAATTAGAAGGGAGCGGGGAATTAAAAAAATTTTAAAATTATTTTTCGAGTAATTCTGGAAAGTCAAACGGAAATTTTCAAAGTTTTCCCCTTTGGTTACCTTTAAATTTTTCATTTCCTTTTAAACTCGAAAAGGAAATGAAGGGAAATTTGAGGATTTTTTTCTTTTTTTTTTAAATTTTTTTAAATATTTTTTTTGAGTTTATCGAATTTTGGAACCAGCCTGCATTCCTTTTTGCCATCGTGTTCTCTTTTGAATACTCCCGCATCTTTTGAATTTTACATTTAAATTCATTAAATTATTAAATTTAGAAATGAGGACAGAAAAAAGATAATTTCTGATGATCAAATTAGACAAGTTCTTAATGCTATATTGGAGGCAGGTTCTTTTTTTAATTTTTTCAAATAATTTTTTAAATTTATTTTTAGGCCGTACTTATTCTATTGAACACGATTCCGATGCGAATTTAATGTATGAATGGCATGAAAAAGAATATTTGGGAGCGGCACATGGACTTGCTGGAATTTTACAAATATTTTTGAGGTTTTTTAAAAATTGGAAAAATAATTTTTTTTTGATTTTTAAAAATTTTTAGTTATTGGAATTTCCTCGATTCTAAAGCTAAAAACGATGTTAAACAAACAGTTGAATGGTTTTTGGGTATTCAATTAAAGGATGGAAATTTTCCTTCTAATACAAGCAAAATAGGTTTAAAAAATTTTATAAAATAAATTTGGAACAAAAATAGGTATAATTTCGGAAAACGAACAGAACCGAAATAGGTCGAAATATATGTCATTCGAAAGTGCTCGTCGAGTTGAGTCGAATGGTGAAAAAATTTTCGTGTGATTATTCTATATTCTAATATACAATATGCTATTATTTGTTATTCTAATTTTTTATAGCAAAAATCCTCCCATAAATTTGACCATTTCGAGCCCTATATCTCAGTCCCTCTAAGAGTCCGCACGAAAATTTTTTCACCATCGTCTCAATTCAATTAGCTCTTTCGAATGACAATAATTCGACCTATTTCGACTCTGTTCGTTTTCCGAAATTATTCCCAAAAATGAACAAAAATAGGATATTTTTTTCAATTTTCGCGGATTTTTCATTTTTGTGGACTGTCCGCAAATATTTGCGGATTGTGCGCAAATTTAATTATGTCCAATTTTTCGAATTCTAGTTAGATTAAAAAAATTTATATTAAAAAGTAGAATTAAAAATTTAATGTTTTCTCTTTTCTTATAGGAAAAGAAGCAGAACTTGTTCATTGGTGTCACGGAGCGACTGGTGTGCTTCAAATGTTGTTAGCTGCTCATTTAGTTTTTGAGGAGGAAAAATATTTGGAGGTTAAAATTATTTTTTGTTTTTAAATAATGCTTAGGTATGGCAAAAATTAAATTTCAACCCCCCCTGGGGGCTTTCCTAAAAATTTTCCGCAAAAAATTTTTTGTCCGCAAGTTTTGTCCGCAAAAATTTTTTCCTTTTTTTCAATAAAAAATTTCTAAAAAATATTTTTTTAAGGCAGCCAAATGTTGTGGAAATTTAATATGGAAAAAAGGAATTCTTGCTAAAGGTCCAGGAATTTGTCATGGAATAGCTGGGAGTGGATATGGACTTTTATTGTTATATAGATTTACAAAAGAAGAAGAATGGTTAAATAAAGCAAAAACTTTTGGGTTTATAATGTTGAGTAAGAGTTTTAAGGTTAAAGTTTTTTTTGTTAAAAAATTTTTCTTTAACAGGGCAGGACTTTTTTATTTCCTATTAGGGAACATTTTTTTGGTTTGCCAAAAGGGATAAACTCGGTCAGAATAATCGGCCCAGAAAATTAACGAACCCTAAAAATGCCATCATCGGCCCGACTCGGAAGCGGCTCAGTACCAATTTTAACCAAATTTTCTTCAAAAAATGCTAAATCCAATCAGAGCAATTTTATAACAATCTTTTAGCAAATAAAAATAAAAATTTTTTTTAGAAAGAAGCAAGAATTCCAGATCGTCCATGGAGTTTATTTGAAGGATGGTCAGGCGCTTTATGTTTTTTGGTTGATTTATTAGAACCTTTAAAAGCACAATTTCCAATGATTCCAATATTATTTGATGATTGAATTTTATTTTGAATTAAATTTATTTGGAAGGATAAATTATTATGAAAATATATTTAAATATAATTTTTTTCATTTACCGTATTTACTCTAATAATTCTCCAGTCTCTATTAATTCCCCAGTCTCTATTAATTCCCCACCCTAGTGATGGGTTGGAACCAGAGATGGGCGAAAATAGAATTTTCGCCTCAACGAAACGAAAACGAAAAAATAAATTCATAAATGTACGAAACGAAACGAAAAAATAAATTTCATTTTTACGAAACGAAACGAAACGAAAAAAATTAAAATTATAGAAATGCCTAATTTATCGCCTAATTCACCTCAATTCCTAATTTATTTCCAATAATAACAATTTTATTGAGGTGTAAGTCGTGATGAGCAGGGTCACTCGGAAGTGACGAATGTGTCTGAACTCGGAACTGTCTGAAATCGGATTAAGAACCCTACTTTCAGGGATTAACGAGGGATGAAGGGATTTGAGGGATACATAGAATTTAGGGATATTGGGATTTCGCGGAATTAAGAGAAATAAATAATTATTTGAATAATAAATAAATTACAATTATGTGACCCCCCCCCCCCCCCCTTACCTCTAAATGTGACACATTTAGAGGTAAGGGGGGGGGGGGTCACATAATTGTAATTTATTTATTATTCAAATAATTATTTATTATACAAATAATTTATTTGTTATACAAATAAATAAATGCCTGTTGGAGAGAATGAGTCCTGAAGGTAGACAACAATTGATGATGGTAGACAACAATATTAATATTTTATAATAAAATCACTAGGGTTGTTCCCCGATGTGGGGGGGGGGGGCTTCTGGTTCGCTCTCAGCCGCCGAATAACCTTTTGCACTGGCTAAAGGAGAGAAATAGCTATAGCCCAGCTGCTTTACTTAATCACGGATCTACTATCCTCCGATATCCCTCTAAATAAACGAATATCACCAATATATATTATGTAAAAATTTTTTAAATTTTTTATAGATTTTATAGACCGAGCCGTGACGCTCAAACTGTGCGCGCCGAAAAGAGGTGTACCGGGAAAAAGACGTTCGAACGCCAAACTCTAATGGCGTACATTCAATCTTCAAAACAATTCCCCACCCTGGTGATGGGTTGAAACAATAATCCCCCAGCCTCTATTAATTCCCCAGCCTGGTGATGGGTTGAAACAATAATCCCCCAGCCTCTATTAATTCCCCACCCTAGCGATGGGTCGAAATAATAATCCCCCTGGGGGATTACTAGAGTAAATACGGTAAATAAGAATGTAATGTTTTTACACAGAAATTCGTAATGTTATACACCAAATCAATTTTATTTTTTTTTGCTTAACATTATTTTCGAAGGCAAAAAATAAGTGTATGACTATAAGACTAATCTTCTCTTTATCAATGTCTCGTTTGAATATGCCACAGGGCAAATAGAGGAAGGAGAGAGAAGAAGAAAGTCTGACCATTATGTACAGTCTTAGGTAAGAAAAATAATGGGGAGGGGCGTTGACGGTTAGTTGCTACAAGTAAAACATTTAAAAGAAGGGAAGAAAAGTCCGCTATGAAGGATATTTTGTGGATTTTTCGAGGTTAAAAGTTTGGAAATAAAGTAATGCGTGTTTGGAATTTTGAAATTTGCTCCTACTTTCGTACAAACTAATCGAAGATTATATAAATTTATCTTTTTTTATTATGAATTCTAACCGATTATTCTATATCTTATCGGAACTTATGCAGTTTGGGTATGCTTTTTTTAGCCACGCCCCCTTTTCTCTTTCCACCTTCAATCAACCATATTTTGTACACAATGGTCAGCCTTTCTCCACATCAATCAATTTAGCCGAGTCATACCTGACTCGTTTCCTTCCCACACTCGCAAAAACGTGTGGTCCAAATAAATTTAACAAGATACAGAGTTTATGTAAGAAGAAATGATTGAGAGTGAATGAACAAAGTAGATGAGGAAGAGTATTAACAAGGTTGTGATGTAGTGTGTTTGATTGATGTGGAGAAAAAAAGGGAGAAGGAAAGGCTGACCATTGTGTACAAAATAAGGTTGATTGATGGTGGAAAGAGAAAAGGGGGCGTGGCTAAAAAAAAGCATACCCAAACTGCATAAGTTCCATCTTATCTCTAGCTATGAATGTAAACTAATCGAAGATAATCTAAATTTACCTTTTTTTATTATGAATTCTAACCGATTATTCTATGTCTTATCTCTAGCGTATGAATGTAAACTAATCGCAGATTATCTAAATTTACCTTTTTTTATTATGAATTCTAACCGATTATTCTATGTCTTATCTCTAGCGTATGAATGTAAACTAATCGAAGATTATCTAAATTTACCTTTTTTTATTATGAATTCTAACCGATTATTCTATGTCTTATCTCTAGCGTATGGATGTAAACTAATCGAAGATTATCTAAATTTACCTTTTTTTATTATGAATTCTAACCGATTATTCTATGTCTTATCTCTAGCGTATGGATGTAAACTAATCGAAGATTATCTAAATTTACCTTTTTTTATTATGAATTCTAACCGATTATTCTATGTCTTATCTCTAGCGTATGGATGTAAACTAATCGAAGATTATCTAAATTTACCTTTTTTTATTATGAATTCTAACCGATTATTCTATGTCTTATCTCTAGCGTATGGATGTAAACTAATCGAAGATTATCTAAATTTACCTATTTTTTATTATGAATTCTAACCGATTATTCTATGTCTTATCTCTAGCGTATGGATGTAAACTAATCGAAGATTATCTAAATTTACCTTTTTTTATTATGAATTCTAACCGATTATTCTATGTCTTATCTCTAGCGTATGGATGTAAACTAATCGAAGATTATCTAAATTTACCTTTTTTTATTATGAATTCTAACCGATTATTCTATGTCTTATCTCTAGCGTATGGATGTAAACTAATCGAAGATTATCTAAATTTATGTTTTTTTATTATGAATTCTAACCAATTATTCTATGTCTTATCTCTAGCGTATGAATGTAAACTAACCGAAGATTATCTAAATTTATCTTTTTTTATTATGAATTCTAACCGATTATTCTATGTCTTATCTCTAGCGTATGAATGTAAACTAATCGAATATTATCTAAATTTACCTTTTTTTATTATGAATTCTAACCGATTATTCTATGTCTTATCTCTAGCGTATGAACGTAAACTAACCGAAGATAATCTAAATTTACCTTTTTTTATTATGAATTCTAACCGATTATTCTATGTCTTATCTCTAGCGTATGAATGTAAACTAATCGAAGATAATCTAAATTTATCTTTTTTTATTATGAATTCTAACCGATTATTCTGTCTTATCTCTAGCGTATGAATGTAAACTAATCGAATATTATCTAAATTTACCTTTTTTTATTATGAATTCTAACCGATTATTCTATGTCTTATCTCTAGCGTATGAATGTAAACTTATCGAATATTATCTAAATTTATCTTTTTTTATTATGAATTCTAACCGATTATTCTATGTCTTATCTCTAGCGTATGAATGTAAACTAATCGAATATTATCTAAATTTATCTTTTTTTATTATGAATTCTAACCGATTATTCTATGTCTTATCTCTAGCGTATGAATGTAAACTAATCGAATATTATCTAAATTTATCTTTTTTTATTATGAATTCTAACCGATTATTCTATGTCTTATCTCTAGCGTATGAATGTAAACTTATCGAATATTATCTAAATTTATCTTTTTTTATTATGAATTCTAACCGATTATTCTATGTCTTATCTCTAGCTTATGAATGTAAACTAATCGAATATTATCTAAATTTACCTTTTTTTATTATGAATTCTAACCGATTATTCTATGTCTTATCTCTAGCGTATGAATGTAAACTAATCGAAGATAATCTAAATTTATCTTTTTTTATTATGAATTCTAACCGATTATTCTATGTCTTATCTCTAGCGTATGAATGTAAACTAATCGAATATTATCTAAATTTATCTTTTTTTATTATGAATTCTAACCGATTATTCTATGTCTTATCTCTAGCGTATGAATGTAAACTAACCGAATATTATCTAAATTTATCTTTTTTTATTATGAATTCTAACCGATTATTCTATGTCTTATCTCTAGCGTATGAATGTAAACTAACCGAAGATAATCTAAATTTACCTTTTTTTATTATGAATTCTAACCGATTATTCTATGTCTTATCTCTAGCGTATGAATGTAAACTAACCGAAGATAATCTAAATTTACCTTTTTTTATTATGAATTCTAACCGATTATTCTATGTCTTATCTCTAGCGTATGAATGTAAACTAATCGAATATTATCTAAATTTATTTTTTTTTATTATGAATTCTAACCGATTATTCTATGTCTTATCTCTAGCGTATGAATGTAAACTTATCGAATATTATCTAAATTTATCTTTTTTTATTATGAATTCTAACCGATTATTCTATGTCTTATCTCTAGCGTATGAATGTAAACTAATCGAATATTATCTAAATTTACCTTTTTTTATTATGAATTCTAACCGATTATTCTATGTCTTATCTCTAGCGTATGAATGTAAACTTATCGAATATTATCTAAATTTATCTTTTTTTATTATGAATTCTAACCGATTATTCTATGTCTTATCTCTAGCGTATGAATGTAAACTAATCGAATATTATCTAAATTTATCTTTTTTTATTATGAATTCTAACCGATTATTCTATGTCTTATCTCTAGCGTATGAATGTAAACTAATCGAATATTATCTAAATTTATCTTTTTTTATTATGAATTCTAACCGATTATTCTATGTCTTATCTCTAGCGTATGAATGTAAACTTATCGAATATTATCTAAATTTATCTTTTTTTATTATGAATTCTAACCGATTATTCTATGTCTTATCTCTAGCGTATGAATGTAAACTAATCGAATATTATCTAAATTTACCTTTTTTTATTATGAATTCTAACCGATTATTCTATGTCTTATCTCTAGCGTATGAATGTAAACTAATCGAAGATAATCTAAATTT